CCCCCACAGTCAGCTAATTTCCGTGGTATTTTTTGCTGTACTTCTGCTATGTTCTGCTTGTGAAGCTGGGATCTTCTTTTTCGACTTCAATTCGGAAAGGTGGGACGGTTTGCTAAAACCAGATTACATTTTGCACGATTTTAGCTTGAAGTCCTATGAGAAAATTGGTTCTTCTTACTATAGGTTGGAAGGAAAGTCCTGTCAGTGTTTTTTTTGAAAGCTTACAGTTTTTGATTCTCGATGCTTGAACATGACGTAACATGCCATGCTTGTAGAACATTCTGAGAGCTTTCGTGCAAGAGGTGTGTGAGGGCGCCTGCTCTTTCCTGGGTCTAATTACGATGTCAGTTTCACAGGAGCATCTTCGGGTCATCATCATGTATCGGTGGCCCCGCAGCACTGGAGCCACGGCAGCTGTCCGCAACATCAACAGTGCATTGCGGAGGACACCACTACCATCAGGACCGTTCACTTTTGGTTCGCTCACTTCGCGAAAGGAGATACGATCCTCGAAGAAAACCTCGGTCGGGACGCCTCAACGAAGTGAAAGGCTCCACCGTTCTCGAAGCTGTCAAGGAGGATCCGGAGGCTACCACCCGCAGTCTTGCGACAAGACTCGGATGTACCTAACTGACAGTCGTCACCGCCTGTAAGCCCTTGACTACCAAAAGTACTGGCTCGATGGATCACTCATACCTTGACCGATGGCACGCTGTGCACCCGGGTACCCCTTGGTCAGTCTCCCTTCTCCGCCCTCGTCAGAAGGAGTTTTAAGGAGACTGCTTAGTGGAGATGAGAGATGGGTCCTCTGTGATTTCAACTCACACAGTACCGTGTGTCTCTCTCAAGGAGAAGACCCATCCTAGCAGTCCAAACCGGGCATGATTCCGAGAAGGTTCTTCTTTACTGCTTCTGGGACGCGAGGGGAATGCTGCACAACAAGCTGCCCATATGAGAACACACGGTCATCGCTACCATTTGTGTCGCTCAGCTCCTGAAACCGGTGGAAATTGTTGGAGAAAAATGACCGAGACTAGCTTCGGGTCACCTCGTTCGTAGTACACGAGACCCCATACCTGCTATGAAGACCTACCAAATAATTGAGGAGCAAGGCTGGGAGACCAGTCCCCGCTTATCATATTCTCCTGACGTAGTCCCCTGACTGCTACCTGCTCCGCCTCCTTAGGGCTTTCTTAGCTAAGAAAACTTTCAGCAACTTTGATGACATCAGTCGAGAGGCCGCTGACTTACTCTACTCGCAGCCTTCTCAGTTCTGGGAGGAGGGGAATGCTTACCTGTCCATTAGGTGGAGCACTGTAGTGGCTAACTATGACGAGTATATTGTTGACTAATTCCCACTGTATGTTGAATTAGAATAAAAAAGAAAAAAAGTCACAATAAAGACG